TATGTATGTATGTATGTATGTATGTATGTATGTATGTATGTATGTATTTATTTACTTATTTATCTATTTATTTATTTATTTATTTATTTATTTATTTATTTATTTATTTATTCATTTATTTATTTATCTATTTATTTATTTATGTATGTATGTATGTATGTATGTATGTATGTATGTATCTATTTATTTATGTATTTATTTTTATTTATGTTTTTTGGTGTTGTCAGTGTAAACATTTTAACAAAAATGAATTGCTTCTCTCCCGTCAGAGTGGAAGGTCTGCATTGCTGAGGGAGAGTGGTTTCTGTGTCCTTGTAAATGATACCTTGATTACAAGAAACTATTTGTTCCTAATTAATATGTGGATATTTTAGTCAAGTTCAGCAAGAATGCAGGGAGGCCTTATTGGACTTTTAGTTTCATACCCCAGTGACCTTTAACAGAGCAACAAGTACAAGATTAAATAATTTCCTCATAAAGAGAAAGTCAATAGTGATACATCTTTGAACGTCCTAAAGGCTGGTTTAATCACTTTCCAATATGCCACAGTGTATTCATTACACCGTGTGTAACTTTGCCAACTCTTAGAAAGTTGAAGAAGAGCTTTGGAGGAAAAAACAGTAAGTGCAACAAGAAGGGCCAGTCAGGGAAATCTCCTGTTAGAGTAAACATTTACACTAAGTGAATAAAGATGTTCTCTTACCAAACACGTTCAGGCTGACTTCCTCACTTTTCTCCCCCGCTTTGTTCTTGGCAATGCAAGTGTAATCTCCTTCATCCACCTTCTTGATATCCTTTATTACCAATTCAGAACCATCCTCGTTCAGACTGTACTTATCACCCGTCTCAAGGACGAGGCTGTTGCTGTAGCAGAAAGAGAAAGAGCAAAGAAGACAAAGGTCGATATTGCAAGCTAATACAACTTATACGACTTGAGTGGCCTGCAAAACGATTACATATTGTACACAAAAAATAGTGTTAAATGCTAAAAAAAGGCCATCCACAAGTTCACCAAAGGTATTTCTTTCATTTCTGAGAGAATACTTTGTGTAGTAGCATTCATGGATCAATTTCTTGCCAGAGAATAACAACTCCTGCAGCAGCCTCAGCAATCCAGAACAATTCGAGCTTTTATCCCAAAGTTTTTATCCACTGTTATACCCATTTTTTCTAAGAAAAATAATCTAAAAAACCCACAAAAAAACATCTATCCCAAAAAGTTAACTGTCTGTCCTAAGTCTTCTGGCATATTTCGCTCCAACAGGATCAATGTCCCACTTTGCAGCTCTGAGGAAAGCAGTGAGTCAAATGTTTTTGTTTTTTAACCCCTCATCCCTTCAAAAACGCTTTGTTTAAAGGGTTAATCTTCACAGTTGGATGCTGCCATGCTGAAAGTGTTCAATAGTGATAAAGCGTCTCAAAACAACACGAGACAATTGAATAGAAATGTATGTTTTTTTCAAGTTAAACAGATTTATGTTGCAAAGTAGTCACTGAGCCTTTGTCTGAGCACTAAATGCTATTGTAAACTGGACTGTCTTTCTCTCTGTCTTATGTCTTTTTTTTCAACAATGAAAAATTGGCATTTTGCAGGGAGAAAAGAAGATGAAAAAACAGCCACAGAGATCAGTTACATGAAAAGCAGCAGGCAGCTGGCTGCTACAATTCCAACTTCTGCTTCTTACTGCTTTCTCGAAACTTTTATTATTTGCAGCATACCATCAGACCCCCTGAAGGAATGATTAATAATATCAATAATAGCCTGTCTTGATTATTAAAGTGGTTTTAGCTTGTTTCACTGGCTTGTTTGACAGGCTGTATTGAACCATGTTTAGTCTAAGTCATACAGGGTGTCACTAAATTAGCCAAGACGGCAATTTTAACATTCTCATGGTACCATGCCAAATGGTCAAAAATTGTTAAATAAAGCTGTTGTTTGTTTTTCTAATGATTTATTTTTTAAGTGCATTCTACATCGTTTTTCAAATTGACTTCTTAGTAATATATATATATATACCTGTCTGCTTAGATGTCTGCATTTTGGTTTTTACAAAAAACAAAACAAAAGTGAAAACGTTATGTCTATAAAGAAAATGCACATTTTTCTATCTCAAGCACAGATTTTGTAAAAGATTGTGAATTAAAGGATTTTAAGAAAGAATCTCTTTCTTGAACCTAATCACTTAAGAGTGGGAACTTTAATTAAATATCATCATGTTTTTCAATTAAGCAATACACACATTTTTGGATCTCCATTTCTTTTTCTCCACTATATATCTACAAGTCTTGTCATTTAGTAGGGGAGGCAAGGCATATTTATTCGTGTAGCAAATTTCATATACTAGACAATTTTAAGTGCTTTACAGAAAAGATAATGCATTAAAAAGTGCGAGTTCAATAACAGAAAATCAAGAATAAGTTAAACAAAATAAATCAATAGAAATCCTTGATTGGATAGATGAAAAGGATGGAGTGCAGATAAAATATCTTTCAATTGTCATATGCACAGCTAAATAGAATCGAGACCTCTCTCACTTCTTCGTTAAGACTGTTCCAGATTTTAGAAGTATGAAAGTGAAACACAGCCTCTTGTTTTTTGGTTTTTACCCTGGGCACCAGCAATAGACCACTACCTGACATTCTCAGAGTGTGAGCTGTTTCATACGGCTCTAGCATGCCAGAGATGTACTTTACTTTGGCACAAGAACATGAAGGGACTTGAACATGAGCAGAGTTGTTTTAAAGTCTATTCCCTGAGCGACAGGAAGCCAGAGCAGAGACCTGAGCACTGGATTGATATGATTCTATTTCCTATTGCAGTTTCTGCTTCAGTCTCTATGGTGGTATTCCTTTGGTGTACACACTGTGTGTCCAGGAATGTATAAAGAGGGTTGAAAAAGCCCAAAACACTATCAAAAACACTTTTTTTGTGGCAGCTGGGGAAGGTTTAGGAGTGTCATTGGAAACCACGAAAGCCTTCTTGTGGATATAAGTCTAAACAAAAGAATTTCAAATGAGAAATTCTGTTTTAGGAACTAGTATGCAGCAAACTGAGTGCTTTCTCAACCTAACTAGTCATAGCAGGCAATAATAGTCAATAAAAAAGGGGCAATCCCCATTTCAACTTGTATTTCGAAAATAATTTCTGTCTACTCTCTCATAGTTAGAACTGTAAAAAGAAAAGTAAAAGTTAAGGGAATGGAAATGACCTTCTCTGTGAAGAATATCTGATTTTTCTGCACTGCATACCCAATGTTAATGACCACTATAGAGCTATATTACAACTGCCAATGTGCTAATCCATACACAGAATATGACTACTCTATTTTACAAACTATAAATATTATACTTCAAACAACCAGGGTGATTTTAATTTCATAAGATGCAAAAATCAGCTCATCTAACACTTTTTGAAGCACTTGGAGAAGTAAAGTGACTCCTATTCTACAAAATTATTTTCTTTATTATTTGCATTTCCCAAAAGAGATGTAAAAAAAAAGGGTATAGCTGTGGCACATAAGCTTACTGCTCATCAGAGCAGTTGTAAAACTGCTTCTTACTCATGATCCCGCTATCTAATTAAAAGAGGCATATGACATACTGTTTCCAGGTAACAGTGGGTTCAGGGAAGCCATCTGCATCGCATGCCAATAAGGCAGAAGAACCGATGTCTGCTGTAGCGTTGACCTCAGGCTGTCTGGCCCGGATGGTGGGAAGTACTGAGAAAAAAGGAAAACACGTTGCAGGGTCAGATAGGTAGATTAGAAAAAATATATACAGGAAATAAATGCGTTAAAATAATGCTTTAGTTCTGTCTATATGTAGATGTATTCTGAAACCGCTAAATTTATATTTTGGGCTATTAAGGATGTAAAGAAACAAGTTTTGAAGATGACAGATACAGAAAAAAAAAGAATGTGTGTGCATTTGTGGATTCATTATCGTGTCACCATTTATGTTTATTCCATGTTGAGCAAAAATAAACACTTTGATGGGCGAGGCAGATAGGAGAAGTTAACAGACTCGCAGTACTTACCGTTAACAATGACCTTCATCATCCTGAAATCAATTTCTCCCCTGGCCATGACACGAGCTTCACAAGTGTACATGCCCTCATCTATCTTCTTGATGCCCCGGATCTGCAGGTGGCCGTTACTCATGATCTTATATCGTACTGAAACAGAAAAAGCCAAATGAAGAGAAAATTATATCACCACTTACAATCCAAACATGTTCAAAATGACTTGATTATAGATGAATATTTATCAAAGTTTCTTTTTTTTTTTTTTTGGTTGTAACGCAATTCATCATAAAAAAATCCATATCTTTGAAAAGATCACCCTAAATAATCGATCAAAACTATATAATCATATCTACAAGTTTCTCAGCAATCTACTGTATATATTACACGATATTTGAAAAACACATCACGTCGAAGGCTGAGGTAAAGCATGATTAATTGCTCAAAAGTAGAAAAAATAGAACAATAGATACTCATTCAAAAAGCACCAGTTGTACAGATGAAATAGGAGTGGCGCACAATGCAGTGTTAAAGCAAAAAAAAAAAAGCCTGTCAAACACTACAACGGGAAGAGGGAGCTGTCACAATTTCTGTCTCACATTTTTTTTTAAAATGACTCAGACTTCATCACATTTACACAATCCTTTGTCTCTGTGAAGCATGCGATTCTAAAAATCTAGATTCAAATTCTCGACGAGTAACGTTCACATCCACATGCGTGTCCACTACCCTGGGAGAGGAAAAGGGAGCCTTCCGGGGTACAGTTTGAGAACTATTCGCTGGATGATGCAGTCAGGATTGCATTAAATCTTTTCACTATCAGAAGCTGATCCTGCTGTGGATGAGGACGGTTGCAAGTTCAGCTGTATCTGGAAAGCCTCGGTCCCCAGAATGCTCTGATCTACTGAGTATCCTCCTGATCAGTCCAGGTCCAGACACCGAAAGCGATTTGATGTTTTAAATCCCAGATGCAGTTAAGCGTCTGACCACCTTCAGAAAATCTTTTTAATAGCGAACAGACATTTCATGTGTGTAGATACTTTCACCTATTGATGGCTACTTCTTAATTAAATGCTCTTTACGGTGTGGAAATAATGTGCTGCTTCATGGAAAGGCTTTTAAGGAGTTCACCAGCCATGCTGTATTTTCTCTTTCAGTGGTATTTTCATCTAAACAAAAACCTTATTTCTGGAAAAAAGTCTGTCTATTTCCACTTTATTATGTAGCTTACAAACTAAGTCTTAGCATATGACAGCCGATTCTTTCTTTAAAGACGGGAGCCCCTCTGCTGGAGCCAAGTGCTCCAAGATTCAGAGCTAAAAAGTTCAAATGAGATTTTCATTTTTCCACCTGTCGACAGGAGAAACATGCTGTGTAAACTGGAGAGACGGCATGTGCCGTAAATCCCCTGATGCATGCGATTATGTGCTGGGAGTGATGCTGGTTTGGAACATTTTCTTCTCATACATTCTTATATTTTCACAATTTACAGTATGAACGGCTCCACTCCAATTACTATCACCATAGCTGTGGAGAGATAATGTATAATTTTCCTGAGTGTGAGGAATTACATGGGGTTCTAACGATTTTTATCTTTATCCCCTGCATTCCAGTTCTGTTCCACTGCATATGGGACAAAATAACTGTAATTCTTACTCCGCACGTATGTGTCCACAGCTATAGCTCTTAATTTGTCTCCCGCTGACACACTTAACAATCAACCTTTTACAGCATGCTTAGGTCAACGGATGCACTGAGCAAAACTACGCAGGCAGCTTTTAGTGTTGGTAACAATTAGTGGGTTTTTTTGCGGTGAAAAACACATTCCTTGACCAAAGTCCAAGAATAAAGGCAGGGTTCACACAGCGCTGTGGTGTCTCCAGCCTCTCCAGCGGTCACCAGGGGAGGGGTCACTCTGAGGTTAAAAGAGACTCGGTTCCAGTGTGAAACAAAAGAATATTTTCATGCTTTGTTTTCACCCTTTATGGCAGATAGACGTTTTTGTCAGAATCACCGAGGGATTAAGGATTAAGGACTAAGGCTGTCCATGGAAAGTAGTAGTAACAGTCAGCAGCAGACATTTTCCAGATCAAGTTATTCACTTGCATTGACTCATCTTGTTGCCAGAGATGATTAAAGGCTGAAAATGAATAATTTCATCTCTATTAGTGCACAGCTGAGAAACGTAGCGGTTAGAAAAGGTCAAATGGTGAAAGAGCGGTAAAATCCAAGTGATTCTGAACATTCTCAGAAATGTTTCAGTGTATTCCCACACCACCGTTTACTTTTAGAATGTTTTCTAAGTTTGTACACTTGGTTTCTCCGGGACAGAGCTAAATACCCTAATTCCCTGTCACTCTTCACAGCTCCCAAGAGTGTTTAACGTCCACCGGTGGAGAAAGGGATTACAATGCAAGAGTGGTTGCAAAAGACTTTCTGCATCCTTTCATGTGTTTCTTTTGTTGTTTGCTCTGCTATTACCCAACATTGAAATAAATGGTAACTGCTGCAAATCAAAACCAATTATGGTTTTCCACTCTCTGTAAAAGAGCAAGAAATAACCTTATCAAAACTTCCCTTCAAGCCAAAAGGCAGTGAGAGGTTGACATACTGACAAGATAGATTTTCAGAAGAGTGGACCATTGATTATACTAATTCTTCAGGTAGAAAACCTAGCAATCGTACCAAAAGAAAATATCTTCACCTAGCCGTGAATTGTCAACCATATAAATGTTGCTATCAGGGAAGATATAAATCAACCTTTTACTTAGGTAGCTAACCCGATAACAGTATTTTGGCTGGTCTTTATTCCAATTGGGCTTTTTCAGGAAAAAAATCAAGCCAAGCAATTAAACTGTCAATTCCATTGTCCAGGTTCTGTTTATTCATATATTCTTTTCTTCTATTTGGTGAAAATGACACTAAAGAGGTTGTTTCATCTGACCATAACCTTCCCTTACTATAACAACGAATGCAATTTTCTTGTTAAGACATCGACCACGAGGCCCAAAATGACTTCCTGCTGAAAATGCTTTCTGTTTTCTCACAGATAATGGACAGAGGGAAAAAAGACCAGGAACAGCATGGAAAATTGATTGGAAAGCGTGAACTGGCAGACAGCGCCGCTTAGAGAGTCAAGAGGATTAGATAGGATGGTGGGATGGAGGTGAGAAAGCGGCTCAAGAAAAGAAACAGTTTGATCGTAACTGGCTCACCATCTTTGGCAGCTTCGATCACGGAGCCCTTGTGCTTCCAAATAACGGTGGGTGGTGGTGAGCTGACAACATCGCACACTATGTCCGCATCTTCACCCTCGTTAAACTCCTGTGGATTGGGAGCACTCTGGAAGGTGATCTTTTCTGTGGGGACATATGAGTATCGTTAAAGCAATTTGAACGCTTTGACTTTTACACTTAGGGAAAAGGAAAAGTATTTGCCATTTTTAAAAATTTCTTTGGGGCAGTAGCAGTCCCCCACCCCCCAAAAAAAACAACAAAAAACAGTGTCAACAATGATTCTAGATTGAATTTGTTGCAAAAAACTAAAAAAACAAGATCTCAGAAGAGTGCTCAGAAAACCTTTGGATTGTAACTAAATGATTTGAATAAAAATAACATTACAGATTACAGAACAAGCACAAATATGTTGTCATGGAAACAAAAAATAAGATTTAGTACAGCCTCTGTGGTGCCAAACATATCCAGAATACGTCTCTATCTATGGTAGCGATGTTTGGTAAGAAATGAGGTCAGACAGGTCTGACGTCTGGTTAAAATTAAAGTTCTCTGACCCGAAAAAGCATCCGTCAAGCTGTTTTGTCCTGCTCATACAGTTGATATTCAATGCGCTATAACATTTGATGTTATTTGGACGTGAAAATGTTTTTCATGAAGTTCTGATAATTGTACATCCTAGATAATACAAAAGCACTTCTTGTGTAAAATCTGACAGTCTGTTGTGTAAAATTGTATTTTTTCTTAGTGGATTGCAGATATACTGATGGATAATATATTCCGTAACTGTACAGCAAAGGTGCTGTTCAAGCAAATTCACTGGAAAAACTCCTATTATAAAGATAACGATACTTACGGAATATTTTCACTTGGACGGTGGCCTGAGCCTCCTTATCCCCATTTTTCGCGACACACTTGTAGATGCCAGCGCTGTCCACGCTGGCGTGGTATATGGTGAGAGTTGCAATGGATTCATCGGTGTAGCTTACAGAAAGGTCTTGTCCTGAGGACAAGATCCTCTCACCGCTGGGGGCGTACCATTCTATCTCTTTTGCATTCCCTACGACTGAAAACATGAATGAGACAAATGAGAAAGGAATAGTGTATTTTAATCATCACAATACACACTTAACCTCCACAAAATGTTGGATACAGTTAGGAATTTTTGTTGTACAAACCCCTACTACTTGTGATACATTCAATTAATGGTGTTTATTTACTTCAACAAAGATTCTGGAGAGAATTTTCGCCTCTCTTTTATTCTAAAGTCTTTATTTGGCCCTTTAACAAAATCTGAAAATAAGCAAACATAAATATTTTTTTAATATTCATAATTTATTACCGTGCAATAAGTCAAAATTATTGTTGTGCAGTCTTCTGCCTGCTGTTAGGTATATCGGATTGTGCACAACATGGTTTTGAGCAAATGTTTTACCATTTAATTATGCAAAAGGTCTCAGATACAAAACATTACAGAAGCCATACGGATCAGATGCTATAGATATGGCATATAGGGTTAAACTGGACCAGCTGGAGGATGTCCTATAAATCTCTACACCCAGCAGTCAGAAGTCAGATAAAAAAAAAGATGGTTTACTTTGATACTGTAACTCATTTAGAGGGAACAACTGACCTCATTTAGAGCCTAGGTAGTTCATGTGCAAATGGAGAAGTCCCAGTGCACACTACTGCTGAACACAGTAGGTCAATACTCCCTTATGTGTGCATTTTTTATGCAGTGGGTTGATAGAATAGAACATGGTGACATGAGTATTTTTTATTTTACGCATAAAATTTGACATAATGTATCTATCAACTTCACCAAACTTTGTGTCTTTCTGTAAATGAAAGCTGGAGCAGGATAGAAAAAAAATTAATAACAATCATTAAACCTTCCGTTGAAGATCACCTGGAAACAAGTAAAGATTCTTTTCAAAGATCAGAGTGGAATAATAATTTGTATCTTTTCAAAAACACTCAAGTCTCACAGATTGAAAAATGAAGTGACTTTTCTCCCGTATTAATCTTTTATAAAAGTAAAGACAGGAATAGCACAATACAACACACAAAGAGCTCTAAATGGATTTCGAAATTCTATTCTACTGAATAATTTGAGATTAAGCTGAAGACAACTGTCTTCTTAAAGATACCAAATGAAATAATTCATACAAAACAAAGCAAAGGATTCATGTATGACATAAAAGAAAGACATGTTGCCTCAAAAACTTCCACTGGCAGGAAATTAACTGGTTTTCTTTTCAGTATAAGCAAAACATTATTTTAGCCTCATCATGAAGACCTGCAAATGGTTTGAATCTTACAATTTAAATACACCTTCGGAAAATATCCTAACTTATCATAGACAACAAAGCCATCTTGTTTATTTTCTCAGGTGCAGAGACTTTGTATATCATCTGAAATTATCAATGATCTAGAAATGTGGAACATTTTTCCCCATTTCCCCAAGATTTCTGCCCAAACTTCAAAATAGTTATACATTTATTCCTCCTATGACATTATTCCAGTCCATTTTAGAATATATGCAATTGTGACCTATTACTACTATTAGTAGCCATGAAACAGGCACTTTGATGAGTAAGTAACTTTTATTTCAATATGAGTGAGTACATTTCTGTGCAGGATTTCTTCAAAGAGAGCTCTCTCGGGGCACATCACAAAATTATTGGAAGTTTAGAATTGATTAGCTATTTGAAATACAAAACTCAGATAATGCATCTCACTGGTGTTATTATTACTTTGGGCTAATCTATATAACTCATAAAAGTAGAGGATTATTAGAGAAATGACAGATGACAGGTGCAAAAAAAAAGAAAAAATTCCAAAGAAGCATGGGGCAACTTTCACTCCTGCTCCCTAAGCAACATCCTAACCTGACATGACTCATTTGTTTCAAACTGCAGGGAAACCTGGCTCTCCAGATACACCAGAAGCCTATTTCTGGCTTTAGAAACACCTAAACTCGCCCAAAAAATGTCAGTGTTGACATGTTGAGTATCTTATTTGTCTTCTTATCTTTTGGACTGTTCCACTCACACCTCTCCAAATCCTCCTTTCTTACCTGACTGTGATCTCCTGCTAACACTACCTCCACAAAATCCTCAATTCAGTTTTTCTCTGCTTTGTTTTCCCCTTCATTACCCTTGTCCTTTCTACAGCAAATATTGTGGCGTGAGGTGAAAATTTACATCACGCTGAGTTTAATGAAGTATGTTCTTGATCTCTCTTACCTTCACAGAGGAAAAATTTAGAGTCTCCCACGCTGATTTCCCCTTGTGTTGGAGTGATTTGCACCTGAATGGCAGCTGCATTGAAAAACAAAAGAGAGAAGAAAATGTACATCATTTTGTTTTTTTTATTCTTTATTTTCATCGTGATGAATGAAGACATGGCTGAAGCACTACGATTTGAAATGCTTTTCTTAGTCAAAGAAAACGAACACGTTCATCCAAGCTCTCCACCAGTAAATAAAATAAAAAAAGGAATAAAATACTAAGCGGAGGATAACCTTTCAATCTACATAGGTGTTATGAATTTGGATTCAAAAGCCTGACACATATTAATAGGTATTAATAACTATCTCAAATCTGAGTCTGCATGGTTTTGTGTTAATCAAATCATTAAGGTTTTTTTTTTTTTTTAAGTTTTCTGATTTCCTTTTTGTTGTTTTTGTGCACTTAAATGATGATGATGCTTGCTAGCGTAACAATACTGTGATCCCTAAGGTTCTGGCTTGTTTACTAGAAAGCTCATGCACCTTGCTCAAGAAGTCATTACCCCAATTAAATTGTGCTCACTTGATGTAGTTTGCTGGCACATTGTTTCAGGAGTTTGTCACCATCCATACAAACGTTCTGTCCAGTATCATTAGCATAAAAAACAACTCCAAGAGCTCTTTAACATTACACACCACATTTAAAGCGCTCCTTAGTATATTCAGTAACACAAGTGACACTTTATATTTTGTGAGCAGAGTGAGTTTCGCCGTTACTTGAATCAGAGTCAGAATCATCCATCCATTATCGCTACCGTGGGGAGAACTGGAGCCCATCCCAGTGGTCAATGGGCAAGTGTCCATCACAGGACAAACAACCAAGCACACTCATATTTACTCCTAGGGGCGATTTTTGAATGTCCAACCAACCTAACATGCAGGTTTTTAGACTGTGGGAGGAAGAACCCACGCAGACACAGGGAGAACATGCAAACTCCACATAGAAATGTCCTGGGTCCCCTGGGACTCAAACCTAGAACCTTCTTGCTGTGAGGCGATGGTGCTAACCACCACACCACCGCCCCAGAATCAGAATCAGAATGACTTTATTAATCCCTTGCGGGAATATCTGTTAAAGATAAGCCATTGGTTGATGCACCAGCTCTCCAACTGAGAAATTTAACAACTTTGAGAAAGATATCCTTTCATTCAGACTGCACTGCAATTCAGTATCACCTAAATCAGGACTGATGAGGACAAGATTTGGAAAGAGTACAGAGAAACACCTGTGTTTTTGTATTTTCTGCTTTTCAAATTTGGGACTAAAACTTGCATCTATGAAAAACGTTTAAAAGGTCCAATCAGCATATTGTCACTTGAGCATATTCCTGACATTAGAGCAAATGTAATGACGATTAAGTGTGACACAGCCGGGCTTGTATCTCCAATAATATGAGGTATGAAAGTAAAAAGCGCAGCCTGCAAAGTAGGAATGGCGCTGAATGCGTGCCTGATCCGGTGCCTGACAGAGAAATCCCACTGTGCCTTCAGCATGTTGCCACTTCACACAAATGAGTTAGTCAGCCTCTGCTCAATTCTCACCAGGATCTTCATAGGAGCGATTGGCAAGGGCTTGGCATTCAAAACAGGTAGCCAGCTGTCATCGCAGCACAATCGAACATTGATGTTCATAATGCGGCAGACATGTAGCTTAAAAAATAATGCGAAAAACATCCGTGACTAAGCAGAGGGTGTCACAGCAGTGGCCCTTTTTGCCTGGCTTTTCATACACACACACTCTGAAAAGCCACCGAAATTATGGAGTGAAGCAGAGCCTCAGTCAAACTGCCGGGGTGAGGGAGGTGTGTGCAGCATTCAGAAATGCAAAGAAGGTTTTTCTGAGACCACAAATGCATATGTGACTGTTTCCGAGACTGTGAAATAGTCGAAATGGAAAAGAAAGATGGAAAAGAAAGCTGCCCACATTTCCATGGTGTCTTGAGATAGCTACTATTACCTTAACATTATCAGTAAACTCATTGAGCGTTTTTGTATTTAGTTGTTTCATAAGTTACACTTGAAATAGAGTAACAGTATTGAAAAAAAATAGGATTGTGAATGTAGTTTTTAATATCTGAAGTGCAAACAAAGCATGCGCGAAAGTAATCTGCATATGGTCGAAAACATGTTAACAAGTGATCTTGGAGTTGTAACACACTACCAATGTAGTTGTCAACGTGACAGAACTGTAAAACTGAGTTAAGAAAAGGAGGCAAATACGATAAATCTCTCAAGAACAGTTTTAAATATAGACTATTTCATTACATAATTTTAAATGAAAACAAAATCCACTTTACAGTCTACAAAAGAAGTCTTACATTTATCTATAATAAAAAAAATAGTACTTCTGCCACATGGACAAAGTGGCTTTTGTTCCAAGCTAGCGTGCTGCTTTTAAAAGCATGGAAAACCACTACCCTCAGTATGTGTGCTTACACAGGCTGGAAGTAGATACAAAGACAACAACATATCCATTTCCAGATACCATGGAGTAAACACTAACCATGCCTCCTAAGACTAAGATGACTGGCCAAAAATTAGATGATCATATCTATAACACTAATGAAAACAAGAAGGGGCTCAGGTGGTGTGGGAAAGAAAGGTATTCCCAGAGCCGTGCTCCCAGCGTTTGCTTCTAAATGACCACTTCTGCAGTGCTTCCATTAAGAATGTTTTTCTTGCTGATTTATAAAACAAATGTGACACACACGGTGTCTACAGGGAGGACGTGTTTAACAAAAAGGCTATCGTCTGCAATCAGTCATGATTAATTTGGCAAATTCAAGATAGCTATTATCAGCAGGGATGAAAGACAACAGCAAGAAATATATTCCTGCAATATAACTGACAATTGCAAGCCACCTTGAGTGATACCATTGCTGACCATAGCTGAGACCTGCTGCTAATTTTTTCAACTGGTCAATTTTGATAGCGTAATAACAAAATCCCAGTGGCCCCTTTACTATTATACAAGCAAGGGGAGTTATTTCAAACTGAAAAGAATATGAATGCTTTATAATAAATCATTCATTGTAAACTTTCCAGAGTGAAAAAAAGACTGTGACCAATAAGGATAACCTGTGCCAGTAATAATTTTTCATACCCAACAATGTAATCTATAACATTTAAACCTTCCAATGTACAAGTATTGCAACTCTACCCGGATAGGGAAACGTATAAAAGAGAAATACTAAATTAATAAAATTAAAGAAATAGCTCACTTGAGAATTTTTAGGTTTAACGCCTGACCATTTATCATACAATGTTTCTGTCACCATGCCACTATGAAGTCATTTCAGAGTCTCTCCTGAAATTGCACTCCATTCAAATTCAATAGTAAATCCAAAGCTTTAAAATGCAAACTATTAAGAAGCTTAAGAAGATAGGAGGATTTGTCTATTTGAATACTGGTGATTCAAAATATAAAGGCGAATGAGGTCCAACATAAATATCCTTTAAAGGAATTATCAGGGGAAACAATTGACACAATTTTGTGTAAAAAGTAAAATTACTGAAGCTCTTAACCCATAAGTTGCTTAAGCTATGAGGCCTCAAAGCTATGAAGAAAAAGAGAAAAAGACTTTAGAAAGAGTAAAGTTTTTTTGCCCAAACAAGCTGTCATGACATCAATATAATATGTATTTAATAAGACTCTCCCTTGCCTGCAATCTATCCTCAAATTGTGCTCTGTATCCTGTTTATGCCGATCCCAAGCCTGAATAAATGTGAGAGTTGCATCAGGAAGGTCATCTGCAGCTAAACTTACCATGCGAGACAAGGTGATCGCGCTGTGACGGGAAAAGCCAAAAGACAAACAAAAACAAGACTATCGCTTCCTCCCATCTACCTGGAAAGACTTATAAAACCCCACGTCCCCATTTCAAAGCTCTATACCATTCCATCCCCTGCTTAAATTTTAGCATTTCGCTGCCCCTTTTACAAGCAGCTAGCCTTCAGATCAGCATATTTTTGCAGGGTCTTTTAGAGGTTCACTGAAAGGAAAATACTTTATATCACAGTAAATCTAGACTTCAGAGAAAAAATATCTAGCTTAAGAAGCAGAAAGCTGTTCGACATTATTAAGAATTTACAATCTTTGTTATCAGATGCATGGCTGTTTGGTCTCTTTTTTTTTATCATAACTGCCACAATATCCCTAACTCCTACACAAATATTTGGCTCTGGCTCTGAACAAAGAGTTATATTTTTTCCAAGAGAAGCGCTTGAGATTTGAATCAAGTCAACATTAAGCACAAAAAAAAGAAAATAATGAGACTTGGACCAGTTGGTTCCTGCAATTCACATTGGGAGAGTTGTAAAAATAAAAAGCCAGTTTATTAAACATCTTCAAGAACATTATATTTTCCAGAATCAGACCATCAGAGAGTTCCTAATTATCAGACTGGCTTTTACCAGAGTCTCAACACTCTCTGAAGTAGAACAAATGTCTGGATTTTCTTTATTATTTATGGGGTTTTGGGCCATAATGCTACACTGAACTATTAAGTATAATCTATCACTTCTTAAAAAGTGGACTTAAATAAGAAATTATTAAAAAAATGCTTTAAAACAATAATAGTTTCTGAATTATGGTACTTAATGCTTGTGGTTTTCAGAGCTTCAGTTAGAACTGTATCTTTATTATACTCCTGATTACATGATTTATTGTACTCCTCTTAAAAGTGGATGATATGTCATATTTACAAATTATATAATAAAACAACATAGAGGACCATGTTACATGATTAGCAGTTAAAACATTGGAAATTCTTATTTGTAAATTGTATAAATCTGACTGTAACTGTAACTAAGAGAAACAAAGAGTGTGTGTGTGTGTGTGTGTGTGTTTGTTGTCTGCCTTCTTGAAATACATCATTTATCATTGGAAATCACTGGAAAAGTTTTCCTTTTCAAATAATTCAAATTAAGATATGAACTGGGAATAAAGCCAGGTTCAAAGGTTTAAAGCCAGATTTAAAATGCAAAAAAAGGAGTACTGGAGTAATATTAAAAGTAATGGGTGGATGGCTGACAGACTTTCAGGTGCATGCAACTATTTGGGAATAAAATGTGAAGCATTGTTTGCTCTCCATGGCAATTTCTGAAGTGACACACC